AACGGCAAAGATGCTGCCATGCCAGCCTTGCTTTCTCCGGACAAGCGGCGAGGTCTGCGTTCTCCTATCTTTGCCAGGCCCGTCAGGTGGCCCCGTCTCAGTCCGATCTGGCCACAGTGATTCATGCCACGGTCACCTCCAGATTGAACGACTGCAGTTTGCCCTATGCAGCACTGCCTCTGAAGATGCTCTGGAAGCTTCAGGCTATCCAGAATGTAGCTGCTAGGCTTCTGATCAATGTGTTGTGGTCAACACACTTAGAACCAATAGTGAGGCAACTGCACCGATTGCCAGTTGGTTTCTGGATCCAATTCCAGGTGCTGGTCTTAACCTTTAAAGTCCTACATGGTCTGGAACTGTTCTGCCTCTTCATCACCTCTTCTCTTCCAGGGCAAGGACCTTCTCTGGTGGCCCCATCCTGGTGGAATGCTTTATCACAAGACACACGTGCTCTTTGGCATCTTATTAGCTTCCACAGGGCCAGGAAGACAGAGCTCTTCCAACAGGTTTTTGATTAGTCATTGTGTATGCCTTGCAATCCTTGTATTGGACAGGGTTTGGGGAGGGGAGGGACTTTAGAAGGGCATAATGTCATAAAGCCCACCTTCCAAAGCATCCGTTTTTTCCAGGGGAGCTGACTGCTGTCACCTAGAGATCACATGTAATAGCAGATCTCCAGCCACCACCTGGAGACTGGCAACCCTACTCCCTGATCCCAGCCCACCACTCAAACCACTGCACTACATCATGGTTATTTTCACAGTGCTTTTAACCAACTTAAAAAAACAAAAACAAATGTCACTGCGATTCGTGTCGTCTTTTCAGTTCAGTTGTGACAACTGTACTTTCACCGGAATTTATTTAGCCCAGTAACTTGAACTATGTTCTCGTTCTGTTGTCCTTAATGAATTCTAACCAAAAAAAATTGCGAGTTTAACAAATTAAAACTCTTCCCTAAATTCTTATGATCCACTCCTCTTCCATTGCGGAATCTGGAAATATATGATTATAACAATTTCTCACTGCATAGTTGCTAGTGTGTGTATGCGTGTAGATATGTGTGTAGATATGTTTACACACACATATACAGAGAGAGAGCACAGAGAGAGAGCAATAATGCTAGCTGTCTTCAGCAATTATTTATTTATAGTGGCTTTGATTTTTTAAAATAAGATTTAAACACTTAAATTCTTTACTGTGCCTTTCCCCTCCTCAAACTGTAACTTTTGCTTTTTTAAAAGTCAGAGAGATCTAGAGGAAGCTTGAGTTAAAAAAAATATATATCCATGTGTCGCTTTGAAAAGTGCTAGCAGCAGCTATTTCTGCTACAACTAAGCCAAAGATATTTTTAAGCCACCAGTCCTTTCTGGGTTTGATGATAATAGTAATAAAAAGAAGCTGCTAGAAGCTGGTGTGTACTGAAAGCATTTGCAAAAGAAGTGTTCCCCAAAGAACACCCTAAATTCTGCTACGCTTATGACACAGCAGGATTTAACCAGTTCCGTCACTGCTAGAAGGCTGTTACATGGCAGATTATGGGCTAAATGTCTACTTTCTGATGATCGCATTGATTAATTATTCATGAAAGATGCCTCCAATGCATTATTGTGAGGGAGGCCGAAGCGGAGTTTGAGGATTTTGAACTTTCGGCTGTATTCTTAGCCTCCTTCTGCCTGCTCTTTCCTGCTGTGCAGATTTTCTTTTATGGGGAAAAGGAGATAATGACACTGTCACCATTTATAACTAGCAAGCCGCAGCTCATAGGCAGAGCGACATCCAACATCAACCAATGGATTGGACAGCATATTCTGAGATCGCATTTTCCTTTGAGAACACTTTGACAGCACAACTGACCTTATTTCCTACAGCACAGGTGGAGTCCCTTAGAACAGCCGTTCTGGGCCTTTTCAGTACGGTAACCCACAAGTCCAAATTTACTTGGTATGGTGACCCATCCAGGGCCAACCCATCTAGTTCAGCATTAAGTTTTCCATGGTGGCTAACTCAAGATGTTTTTGTGAAACGTTGTACAAAGGGTGCAACTGCCCCCACTATGGACCCCAATCAAGTGGCACTTCGAGACGCACAGCCTTCGCATATGGAGGTTACATTCCATCTTTTGACCACCACTGCTTCCTTCTCCGTTACACCTTCTAATCCCCCCTAAGATTCTCAACTCAATCTAGTGACCAAAGGGACATGTTTTACTTGACCAACACATACATGCAGTGAAGGGGAAAAAATACCTATTAATGTATGGCATGGGTCTCCCCAATACGAGAGAGCAACAGAATGGGTAGGAGCAGCCATTAGGGAGGACCGGCCTGCCACCCACTTTCAGAGGCTTTGCGATCCACTTTTGGGTCCCAGCCCAGAGGCTGGGAAACACTGCCCACGAAGGTCCCTCCGGAAGGCTGGGGAGACGGGGCAGGCTCTACACATCAGCCACTGCTGTAGATTTTCTTATATAAGAGGAAGAGGAGATTGGATTTATAACCCACCCTTCAGTACCCAAGGGAGTCTCATAGCGGCTTAAAAACTCCTTTCCCTTCCCCTCCCCACAACAGAGACCCTGTGAAGTAGGTGGGGCTGAGAGAGCTCTGACAAACTGCTTTTTTAAGAACAGCTGTGCCAGAACTATGGCTTGCCCAAGGTCACACCAGCAGCTGCATGTGAAGGAGTGGAGAATCAAACTTAACCACTACACTACACCAAAGGTATTAAGGAGGTTGACTAGAGGGGTCGTAGGGACTATATCACTCGAGTCTTGGCCCATCTACGTTGGCTTCCAGTTTGTTTCTGGGCACAATTCAACATGCTGGGATTGACCTTTAGAGCCCTATATGAGCTAGGATCAGCATACCTTAAGGACTGCCTACTTCCGTATGAACCTATCTGACCAGCACAGTCAACGTTTGAGGCCCTGTTTTGGGTGAATTCAACCTTCTGAGGTTAGGCATGTGCCATCTGAAAGAGGGCCTTTTTAGTTGTGGCCCCAAAATTATGAAATTCCCTCCCCCAGGGATATTTTTCTGTCATTGTTTTCCACTAGTGGAGGAGAGGGTAACAATAACTTCAGGTCGCCACTGGGGAGAAAATAAACAAATCAAATGGAAAGTAAAGCCATAGAAGAATGCCAATAGATTTAGTTTGCCAAGCAACAGAAAACACAGCACTTTGTAAGCCAAAAAAATCCCACAACAGAGGAGTGCCTTGCAGAAACAGCCCTGAATGACATAACAAGAGGCCAGCAAAGAGCCACAAAACTGACAGAAAAAGGAAGTGTCAGCAAAGAGCCACAAAACTGACAGAAAAATGAGTGACCGCTTGAGGAAGTGGCTTAATTGAAATAGAGCTTGCTCAAGACTTGGCATAACAAACCTGATCTTTCTCAGCATTTTAAATAAAATGGCATATCCCAGTTAACCTTAAAAGTATTGGACAAAGGCAAAAAAAGAGCTGCATCTTGGAACTTAAAAGTATTGGACAAAGGCAAAAAAAAAAGAGCAGCATCTTGGTATTTGAAGGGCTGTGTTTGATTTGGTGGGGCACACAGTGTTGTGTAGTGTTGTGAAGCACACAGTTTGGTGTAGTGGTTAAGTGTGCAGACTCTAATCTGGGAGAACCGGGTTTGATTCCCCACTCCTCCACTTGCACCTGCTGATGTGACCTTGGGTCAGTCACAAGCTCTGGCACAGCTGTCCTTGAAAAAGAGCAGTTTGTGTCAGAGCTCTCTCAGCCCCACCCACCTCACAGGGTGTCTGTTGTGGGGAGGGGAAGGGAAAGAAGTTTGTAAGCCGCTCTGAGACTCCAAGTGAAGGGCGGGGTATAAATCCAATCTCTTCTTCTTCTTCTTCTCTATCAATCATCTGCAATATGCTATGAGCGACTTCATCTTTCTGCTCCCAGGAACAAACTTTCACTTTCCAGGGAGAAATTATGCAGTGGAGTAAAATGGATTCTGCCATTCAATATTTCACCACTCCACTCTTTCCACCACTTAAGTTTCACTGGTGCGTTAGCCTTATCGTCAACAACGTTGATAGAGTAGAAGTTCAAAGCCCGCAAAATGAAAGGGTTGTGGTAGCCATCTCTGTTTCCTAGGAAATCAATAGCCAAGCCTTCCAAAGGAAAAAAAGATTGAATTTCTAAATGAAAGATAAAGCTCCATACTTTTACTAATAGCTTTAAGGTATTTTTAGGCTCAAAACCCATTTCAAACCCATGCCTCATTTCCAGTCAAAGACTTCCACGATAGCTGTATTGACTTTCAAATTTAACCATTTCACTGACAAAGCTAGGCAGTATGATCACAGCCCAAAAAGCGCAACCCTAACTCATTTGGATTTTTTGGGTGAGAACACCATTACAAGAAGAGATTGGATTGATACCCCACCCTTCACCCGGAGTCTCAGAGCGGCTTACAAACTCCTTTCCCTTCCTCTCCCCACAACAGACACCCTGTAAGGTAGGTGGGGCTGAGAGAGCTCTTTCAAGAACTGCCCTTTCAAGGACAGCTCTTATCAGAACTGTGGCTTGCCCAAGGTCATCCAGCAGCTACAAGTGGAGGAGTGGGGAATCAAACCCGCTTCTCCCAGATTAGAGTCGGCGCACTTAACCACTACACCAAACCGGCTCTCTGCACTACACCATTAATTAACTATTGCTCGCTTCTGAACTGTAAAGCACACTTTGAGGCTTTAAAAAGTTTGAGTTGAGTGGCACCTTTAAGACCAACAACGTTTTATTCTGGGTATAAGCTTTCGTGTGCATGCACGCTTCTTCAGAGGCTTGTGAGGGATGTATTCTTACCAAAATCGCAACGGCATTCCATATCCCGAAACACACATGGACAGATGGGGAAAGCAGCACAAGAACAATCTTGTAACTGAACTGGCAGCAGTGGGGAAATCGTTCTGCCCTGATCACTGGAACCCACTCTGCCTAGTATCGACCAGGCATAGCCAACATTCAGGTGGGGTGGCCGTGTTGGTAACATGAGACTGCTTCGGTAATCAGACAAGGAGCATGTTACAGGACAACAGCTTAATCCTTTATTAAAACTGACCAAATGCTCACAATCAATTAACAGTGAGTTTGGGCAGTTTGCAATACCTTACAATTCAACCGGTTTTTACATTACGTCAGTCTCTGGCACACATACACACCAGAAGGCGCCAGGCTTCCACCAATTCAACCCACAATAACTAAGTCCTCAGAAGGAAATTCATAGTCGGGGATCTCAAGGTTTAGTGGAGCTGGCCCTTTCCGGATCCTGCCAGAGGCATCGTAATGGGACCCGTGGCAAGGGCAGTAATAGCCACCAAAATCTCCAGCATTTGCAATGGGCACACAACCGAGATGGGTGCACACCCCTATCAGGATAATCCATTCAGGCTTCTTTACTCTGTCTAAATCATGCTGCGGATCTCGTAAGTCAGCCAAAGAGACTTCGGCTTCTTGATCTATCTCTTTTTGGGTTCTGTGCCGCACAAACAGAGGCTTCCCTCGCCATTTGAAAGCCATGTTCTTGCCCTCTGGAATATCGCCCAGCTTGATCTCGATCTTGGACATGGCCAGCACGTCGGCGGAAGCGCTCATGCTGGAGACGAACTGGGTGACCACATTCTTAGCGACGTACGCAGAGGCCACGCAGGTTGTCGCTGTGAGAAAGTAGGAGAACACTTTCCTGGTTTCGCTGCTGTCCTGGGAGGATTTATTGGTGTCTAAGACCTCGGGGCGACGGTAGTCGGAGAAGTCGGGCACCGTGACATCGTTGTGGATGTAACGAATGCTCGCAGGAGCTGCGAAGGGAAAGGGAGCATTAAACCATTGCCTTTATAATAAAGATGCCACTGGCAGACTGATTCTTCATTTTAGCTGCTTTCCTAACAAGCATGAAGTCATACTGACAAAGCTATTGATCTCTAGAATTTCCCTATGTAGCCTGTCAGAGATACTTTGAGGATTCCGTTTCTTAACTCTACAATTAACTGCCAAAAACGTACCATCCAGTCTGGAAGGTCTATCAATTGTCATCAACCAAAAGTACGCATGGGGAAAATGACAAAAAGGCGTCTCTTTCCATTCATACAACAAGAGGCAAAAGCCAGCCATGGTATTAAGGGTGCTGGAAAGTTACCTTAAAGTTTAAGCTTGTGCAGTAAGCCTATCTCTGCAGCTCTTCTACAGAATTACAGCAGGTTCTTTAAAAAGCGTTTGAAACCTGATCAAAATTCAGAACACACTTGTAAACACTCTTCCATACGTTTTATAGGACTTGGTGGTTAACTATGGAATCACCTGCAACCCAACTAAATTATGCTTTACAATACTCCTCAGAACAAAGGGCACTTATGCGGGCTACCTCAGCCTAGAACTACACCTGGCTTCAGACTGGGCTTCATGTATCTGAGAGAGCCAGAATTACAACAGAAGCGAAATTACAGCCCTAATTCTCAACTACTGTCATTCATGTCCAGAGAAGTACAATTACTACTGATGTCCATGCTCCAAAATTTGCCTGCACATTAACGTACTTTAAGAACCCAAAATGCAGAACATTGACTCTGCAGTAAATCCAGGAAAGACACAAATTTATTTATTTTTATTTTATTTTATTTCATTTATACCCCACCCTCCCCGCATGCGGGCTCAAACTGACAAACCAAGTGCAATTTGGAGTCACAGATATTAACGTAAATGTATATCAGCAGAACTCTTATTATTAAACTGACCTGATGGTTGCATATAAAGAAGCAATCGTTATCACACAAGAAATTCTTGTTTCAGTCTATAGTTATCAAAGGGTTTCAAAATGAAGGACATGTTTGACATGAGCATCATATTAAGCAGTTAAATCTCTATCCAGGAACTGAAGAACAACCACATTAAGGGTTACCAGAATCACGGCTAAAGGAATTTGGGCCTCTTGGAACATGGCTCGGAGAGAAAATTATAATGTAGCATCTGCAACAAGCTAGAACTAATGAAGGAAATAAAGAGAAACTCTTAGCCATTAGCTTTTTTGAAGACAATTTCCTTAGAAATTAAAGGAGGTTTGATGTTACATTTTAAGGTTTTAAAGACAAGGCGATACTGATGTAATTTCAGGGTCTAAAGTTAAACAGAAGACTATCTGCATCCAATGAGGAGCTAATGAAGCAGGAGTGTTTTAGAAAATTTAAACCGTTACTGTAATTTTTTTAGAAACAAAGAATTTATTAAGCACACCATATACGCTTCACCATATTACACAATGCCTATTCACATTTTAACCTCAAAGCAAATAACCTTAAAGATGTATGCGCAGAAAGGTAAGAAATGCATTTTTTACCACTTCAGTTTTACTTTATGTGGCACCACAAAACCATCAGGTTACCTGATAAAATAAGACCGCATTTCTTACCCGCTTAGGTTCCAACAGTGAAGGCATACCAGCTATCAGATCTGAACAGGTCAAAATCTATTTATCATATAAATAGTGAAAACCGAGCAAGAGCGCTTGCTCCTAAAGTGACACTTACACACGCAAGGAAACAGCATGAGCGGTCTTCAACCACAGCCCCCTTTGAGCTGATTGCCACCTAGGTGAAGCGTAAACATGTCATTGTGCAAACTTGGGGTCAGGGATGCCTCTCCTAAGAGTACAGTGATTAGTCTCAAAGGGCCCCCCATGACTGTCTCTTGGAAAGGAAAAGAAACAGTGAGTGGTCTCCCTCACTTGCATGGGGCCAGCACTGAGTGGCATCTTAGGGAAGAATACAAGCATGCACTTTCACACCTAATGCCAACATCCTGCTCACTGGCCCTGAAATCAGCAATGTCAGCCCAAGGCAGAGGAGAGTAATGCTGAGTCAGCAGGCACCTTCAGTTGAATTTTTCCATTTTTTTTAAAAAAAGATATTATTTATCTTGATTCAGGGCAAATATATGAACTAAGCTATGGCCCTCAAGAACGATTTCTGGTTTCAAGGCTCACACAACCTTCCAAGAAATCATAAACTTCAGCATTGTTCCTTATGACCACTGGGATAATACATATGATTCTATTGTGTTATTCTACCGTTTCTGTTTATGAACAGAAATTATCACAACAAATAAAAGGAACTTCCAAGTTCTGAGTAGTTTTCTCTTGAGCAACAGATGCTGCGGACTGACCACACGAGGCTGCGGCCTTAACTGCCCACTAGTGAGTTGTCCAAAGACATCTGGCCATTCACTTTGGTGAAAGCTGGACTAACAGAACCTTGGTATGAGGCAGGAACAATCCAGTTTTCAGCACACAGCTACACTCAAACATACGTTAAAAGAACAGGGCTACGCATAAAGAGGCAGGCACAGTTTTCAGGTGTCTCTGGTGACAACTGGGATGAAGAGGGAGGGGGAAAAGAACATGTTTAGTTCTTACACTTCCTGAGTGCACCCCTTATTTTATCCCACAAAAGTAGGTGATTTCGCTGCCACAAGAGAAATTATTACAGCTGTGCTAAACAGTGTTCCCTCTAAGCTGAGTTAGTGTGAGCTAGCTCACCGTTTTTTAGCCTCTGGCTCACACATTTGTGTCTTAGTTCAGGAAGGATGGCTCCAGAGGCAAACTAATGTATGCAGTAGCCCATCGGCTCACAACTTTAACGATGTTAGCTCTCAAAGTAGAATTTTTGCTCACAAGACTCCACAGCTTAGAGTGAGCACTGTTCAGGAACAGTTATGTTAGAGCCGTGTTTCCCAGCCTGTGGGTTGGGACCCAAAAGTGGGCCGCGAAGCCTCCGAAACTGGGCTGTGGACCCGCCCTCCCTAATGGCCATCCCTCCCCTTCCCATGGCTCCCATTTGTATTTTGCAAACCAAGTTCTGACCTTAGAAACAGTGTGTTCCATGTCATACATTAGCTGGTATTTTGTCTTCACTGCATATACACGTTGAACAAGTAAAACATGTTCTGATGGTTACTAGAGTGAGTTACTTGGAATTTTAGGGGAGAATAGAGAAGATCAGATTTATACCCTGCCCTCCCTACCTGAAGGAGTCTCAGAGTGGCTTACAATCTCCTTTCCCTTCCCCACAACAGACACCCTGTGACCAATGCTCCCTCTAAGCTGAGGAGCCTTGTGAGCAAGCAATTTGGCTGCTGCATGAATTAGTTTGCTCTGGAACCATCCTTCCTGAGCTAAGACAAAAATGTGTGAGCTGGAGGCTAAAAAACTGTGAGCTAGCTCACACTAACTCAGCTTAGAGGGAACACTCCCTGTGACGCAGGTGGGGCTGAAAGAGCTCTCTCGAGAACGGCCCTTGAGCTCACACTAACTCATCTTAGAGGAAACACTGCCTGTGCCGTAGGTGGGGCTGAAAGAGCTCTTTCGAGAACTGCCCTTGAGCTCACACTAACTCAGCTTAGAGGGAACACTCCCTGTGACGCAGGTGGGGCTGAAAGAGCTCTCTCGAGAACTGCCCTTGAGAGAACAGCTCTGGAAGAACTTGTAACTGACCCAAGGTCACACTAGCAGCTGCAGGTGGAGGAGTAGGGAATCAAACTTGGTTCTCCCAGATTAGAGTTCATGCTCCTAACCACTACACCAAACTGGAGTAATGGAGAAGGAAACCTCCATATACAAAGGACATGTATGTCAGAACACCACTTGCTAGGGGGTTCATAGTGGGCAGCTCTACCCTTTCCCAGATGTTTGCTGGTTGTTCAGAAACATCTGGTTAGCCACTGTAGTTCATGGAATGCTGAATTAGTGAGGTGCAAAGATCACAGCTTGCCGAGGGAGCCAAAAAACTTTGGGCTAGCCCTGGATGTGTCACCGTACCAACTAAATTTGGACAGGTGGGTCACCATATGAAAATGTTGGTAACAACTGTGCTAGAGCATAAACCTTCTATCTCCAATCTTCCATGACCCAGAAATTACATGGGAGGTGCAGACATCCATATCCAGAGCACACAGGAGTACACCGCACCTCTCCTCCCTGGAAGCCTGGCTTATACATGGCCAAGTGTATCAGTTAGTCTCCCACTTACATTGGTGCACTCAGCCCTAGTTCTCTGTGTCTGGCCTACACACATTTCAGAAAGCAGGAAGAGACTCTTGTGAGCAAGCAAGAAATAACAGAGTGGTGAGTGTTGGACTATAAAGATCTGGGTTCTGGTTCCCATTCAGTCCTGAAGCTCACTGAAACACCTTTGGTGAATCACCCTTTCAGCTTAATTTAGCTGTGGGAATAAAACAAATGAGGGCAGAACCATGTCCACCACCCACCACAAGCTCCTTGGGAGGAAGGAAAGGGTAAGAAACGTAACAGATGGAAATAACAAAATCCCTGCATCTGGAAAGCAAGATGGTTAGGAAAAGGAACAAGGTCTAACCTATTCCCTGATGTGCTAGTTTTCTACATGTGGGATCTTTTTTTTTGGGGGGGGGGGGGGGGAACAAAAA